TACAGAGTTCTTCTTTGGGTCTAGGAAAGGTACTCAGAGTGTCACAGCTAAATACAAAGTGGAACAGATTGTTGAGCATAAGAAGTTAATGTGTTGCAAGAGACCATTCAAGGTGAAGTGTGCAGTAGACACCTCTGCAGTTGTAGGACAAAGGAGGGTTAATGGGTTATAGATTGTTGTAATGAGCCATAAATCCAGTGTCTTTATTAAGTCCATGATTTTTAGTCTCTGGAAAAGTTGTGAATTTAAGCTCCCAGGCTCATCTTTTGAAGGTGTTGGGCAGGTTTTCTTTGAGGATGAGAACTGAGAGGTCCGATATGGAGAGATCATTTTGTGAAAAGTGTTCACCCATGCGTCAGTTGGTGGCTTTGTCTTCTATTATTTTACTGTGTGAGCTCATTTGAGAGCATCTTAGTTGCCATTTTAAAAAAAGTAAGTTTCTAGCCATCATGATTTTACAGAAAAGATTAAAAACATGACATGAGGACACCCCAAAGGCCTAAAAATGATAAAGAAAATGAAAAGACCCAGAAATGTATTATTTTCTTAATTCTCATTACTTTTAAGCCAATCTCATGATTTCTGGGGGTCTGACTCAGGATATTTGAACACTTGGGACTTGCAATTCTACAATATATAGACTAATTGCATCACAGTAGGTAATAAAGTATTAGGCAACTCTATGCCCCAATCAGACACAACAGTGACCAGGAGAAACTGTGGTGTGGTTTTTGCCATGTTGATCCCAAAGCTTTGGAACTAAAGAAGAGCTCTGTGGTGCTTGAAAACTTGTCTCTTTTACCCGCTGAAGATGATCCAGTAAAAGATATTATCTCACCCAATTTGTCACTATGAGGAAATGTTTTCTTTTAATCTGACTTTTGTAGTTGTATAAAAGAGATCAACTAACATACCTCCCCTCTTGCTGAGCAAAATGGTTGTTGCTGAGCTCGCTTGTGTTACATCACAGATGGAATATTTGCACCCTATCAGACAAAAGAGATATAACTTGTGACTTGTCCCATGTGATTATCCAGTGAACCAGACTTGAACTCAAATTACACTACAAATATCAGCCTGATGAAGTTTTTTGCACATGGGGATTGTCATAAATATAAAGGGAAGGGTAAACCCCTTTAAGTCCCTCCTGGCCAGAGGAAAAACCCTTTCACCTGTAGAGGGTTAAGAAGCTAAGACAACCTCGCTGGCACCTGACCAAAATGACCAATGAGGAGACAAGATACTTTCAAAGCTGAAGGATGCGGGTGGGGGGGGGGTGGGAACAAAGGGTTCTCTCTGTCTGTGTTGTCTTTTGCCGGTACCAGAGCAGGAATGCAGGTCAGAACTCCTGTAAAGGGTTAATAAGCAATCTAGTTAGCTATGCATTAGATTCTGTTTTGTTTAAATGGCTGATAAAATAAGTTGTGTTGAATGGAATGTATATTCCTGTTTTTGTGTCTTTTTGTAACTTAAGGTTTTGCCTAGAGGAATTCTCTATGCTTTGAATCTGATTACCCTGTAAGGTATTTACCATCCTGATTTTACAGAGGTGATTCTTTTCCTTTTTCTTTAATTAAAATTCTTCTTTTAAGAACCTGATTGTTTTTTCATTGTTCTTAAGATCCAAGGGTTTGGGTCTGTGTTCACCTATGCAAATTGGTGAGGATTTTTATCAAGCCTTCCCCAGGAAAGGGCATGTAGGGTTTGGGGGGATATTTTGGGGGGGAAAGACGTTTCCAAATGGGCTCTTTCCCTGTTATTTTTGTTAGATGCTTGGTGGTGGCAGCAATAAGGTCCAGGGACAAAAGGTAAAATATTTTGTACCGTGGGGAAGTTTTAACCTAAGCTGGTAAAAATAAGCTTAGGGGTTTTTCATGCAGGTCCCCACATCTGTACCCTAGAATTCAGAACCTTGACAGGGATAAAGACAAAAAATTGCTAACGGTTTCTGCAAAGACATTCATAACATTTCAGCAATCCACTGCCAGTTTACAAACGTCGTTCAGGCTCAAATCATTTTGAGTTTTGCACTTAGATAGTTTGGGTTGAGCAGTTTGTACAGTTCTATCCAGAAACTGATCTCCATAGTCTAGGTACCACACAGACAGGGGCTATTATCTGCCTTGTCTGTAAAGTGATGCCTTTGCATATGTATCTGAAAATCATCCTGCTTTTTTTACTTCATATTGCACTGCAAGCTCATATTCAACATACTGTCCATTGAACATTTATGCTGCTGGGTGGTTATTCCTGTGTGGAATATGATTCTAAATAACTGTCAGGGCACCCAGATCTGTGATATTCGTTTAAAAATAATCCAAATGAATAAATAATAAATATAATCCCTAAGGACCATATTTTAAAAGGTATTTGGGAGCCTAAATTTGCAGATAGACAGTGGGATTTTCAAAACTGCCTAGGCCCCTAACTCCCACTGGTCCATTGGCAGTTAGGTGCCTAGAATCTTTGGAAAATCCCACTAGCAGCTAAGATGCATTTTTAGGGTCCTAATACCTTTAAAAATATGCCCTAAATAGAGGTGGGCAAATTTTTTCAGCTGAAACTATTTTTGGTGAAAAATGCAGGTTTGGTGACATCAAAACATTTTGTGAATTCATGTTGGTTTCTCTGAATTGTTCCTGTTGGGGGGGAAAAGTCTGAAAAGTCAAAACATTTCATTTTGACCTTTTTGAAATGAAACATTTTGATTTTTCAGTTCAAAAGTGACTTTCCATTGTGGAATTTCCTTCAATATAATTTTTAAAATGCAAAAATATTTTTAAAATGCCTGAAATGAAAATGAAACATTTAGTTAGTTTTGGATTGAACAAAATGTTTAGCTTGGCACTAAACAATTCTTTTTCCACTTTGCAATTCACCAAAAATATTGAAAGATTTCATTTTGGTTTGATGCAAAACAAGTTTTTTAAAAAATTTTTTGGAAATGCCAGTGAATTTTTTAAAAATCCATTATTCTCCTAGCTCTAGACTTAAGTCCCTTCCACAATAACCTGCAGTATCTGGCTGTAGGGTCATGGGTTGTGGGGAGAAGCACCCTCTCTGGTTGTGGGCTGTGTGGTTATATTGGGAAATGATTTCCCTTTAGTTTTTTTGAAGTAAGCAGATCTGCAGCTGGTGTGGAAGAGGTGGGTGAGCAGGTCTCCCTAGGCTGGCTGCAAAGGGTCTTCCCTGGTTGGTAGGCAATTAGGGGTCAAGGCTAGAGCCTTACCAGTTCTTCATGCTCCAAGGTAGAGCTAGCATTAGAAGTATGCAGCCTTGCAAGCACCGATGGGGAGAGACTCAGGCTGCAGAGCCTACAAGGCTTTCACTCAGTGCCATTTCCTCTGCCTCTTTGTGTGCTGCTGGAGTAGCTGATTTGCAAGGGAGGATTGTGGGGACTATAGGGTCCACCCCCCCATGACCACATATTCACGTGCCTAAGTGTTTGCAGGATTGGAAACTTGTGCACAAGTAGCAGGGGCACTTTAAGCAGCCAGTTCCCACTGACTTTCATAGGAGGTAAGTTCCTAATTGTCATTTGTACCTTTGAAAATCACCCCCATAAACTCCTGTACATGAGTGTTATGAGAAGAAAAATTACCCAAAGCATAAATAACGGTGGAGACACCCCACACAATAATTTTCAGACTGCCATGAGCTACATCAGGGCAGTATTACTTTCTTACCAGAATGGGAGAATTAGCTTGTTACTTGAATGAAAAAGAATTGCTTGCCCTCATTGAAATCGTCCTTAGGATATATATATATATATATTTGTGTCAAACTGCAGCCTTCCTAGTAGTAATCTCATTGACATCCCTGCCAGTCAGCAGCTGCAAATACTAGCTAGTCCTCTCTTGTGCCAATCTGCTGGTGAGTGGTGCAGAAACATTTTAATTAAAGTTGAACTTCTTAAAGTTGAAGTGAAAACAATTACAGCTCAATTTTACTTTGCCTCCTCATTTTCATCACTTATATTCTCTCTTCCTCCTCCCTCTCCATTAGAGGACTTCGTTTCACAGTCAGTGAATTATAATCTAATTATTATATTTTAAAAAGGCAGACAAGGCATTGTTTCTTCATCCTTCAGTTAAAAAGCTCTAGAAGGACGAAGGAAAAACTATTCTCTTCTTGAGTGCTACTCGCACGGAGTCAATGTTCATCATAGACATCTCATTCTTCCCCATCTGTGGTTTTTCTGCCCCCCCCTACAAAAGGGATTGCATCTTTCCCTTAACAACTGTTTGCACACCAGACTCAAAGAAAGTTCATAGCCACATCACATGTACATTGGATATGTAAGTGAAGTGATCTGTAGCGCTGCTAATTAGACCTAAATTCTTGATTTACTATTTATAAAACAAAATTGATTATTACTTCATCAACAACATTTAAAGCATCATTAAGAGAGGTCTGCTCCAGCAGCCTCAGGTTAAATTTTTTAACAAGCACTTTAGTTGCTAATCTGTGTTATTGCCAACATATGTAAACTTCCTAATGCTAATTGCATTCAGCTGTGAATCAAACAATGTCTAATTCTCTTCAGGATTAATTATGCACATGTGCTGCCTGCATTCCTAAACATGGTTCTCATAAATAATAAGAGATATATCTAGGCAGATGGGGTTTTTCCAACTAAACGATCTGTTTATCATGAATAAAACAATTGACATATACTAGACTTCTAATGCAAAGTCACCACAGCTTTCACATATTTTTAATCATAAATAATTACAGCGACAGTTGTTTGTGTGACTACATTTTTGAACAACCAAGCACTAAAAAGCATGTTCTCCCAGACATACTATTATCTCTGTGCTGCTTCTTTTTTCCTTTAAACTGAAGGCACATAACAGAAGGGTTTATATATTGTGTGTTTGATGCATGAAGCTAAGTGACTGCACAAAAGGCACAACTTTTGTAAGCCCCAAGGAATCTTGCTGAAGTGGACTTTGTAAGAAAAACTGCTAAAATGTTATGTATTCTGCTTTTTCAGGGTTTGACGTGCCCAGCACATCAAATGTTGGCAGCATCTCTTTGGAATATTTAAATGTATTTGGAAGTGCTGATAGTTTGCTTCATTTTTGGTAAGATGACTTCAAATGGAGAAGACCTGTTAAATGAGAAGATGCTTGTAAAAATTGCATTTGACAGAGAGAAAAGAAATTTACCTTTTAACATTTAATGAAAGGTACAAATAAAGGTATTCTATCATATCTCTTATTAAAGAAGGCTAGATCTTAAATCCAGCCTTAGTGAACACACCAGTAACGCCTTTTGTTATGACATACATTTCTTGGTTTCCACCAAAAGAAACTTATATAGAAAATGCATCAAAAAAAAAAAAGAGATGAATATTAGAAGTAGTGGTACATTTAAATTGCACTATTATGCAAAGATCATGTTTCATCATGGGCTATTGCAGCTGTTATTTTTCATGGTATTGTGACACAACTTCCTATGACCGCATGTGTCATTTTGAATTCTTTTGAGTCTGTTAATATTCTTTTTTAAAAACATGAGTGAATTTAATGCTTGTGAAAGGTAATGGACTGATATCTGAAGTTCTCTTGCAACAAAACAGGTGGAACACGGTTAGCAGCAGTGCAAGCTCCCCTGGCAGCATGCTGTAGTCTAAACTACTCTCCAAGGACCATCTCAAGAGGTGAGAAACCAGTTCACTTTCTCTCCTGAGTCAACCAACAGAGGTATCAATCAACCTCTGTTTTCTGTAATAAGGACACCTGGGCCGAGATCATCAATTAATTTCATAAAACCATCTGATGGGTTTTGAACAGTCTGTCACTTCCAGTCACTAGTGACCTTGCCTGAATTTGCGCTGGTGACCTAGAAGTAAAACCCCCTGAATTCTATAACTAGTTCAACTGTGCCACCCTGCCCTTGGTTCAGTGTAGGCACGATAAAACCCTGTTGTGGCTGTGCATTGTATGCGATACAGCTAAGCTATGCAGTGACAAAAAGCTTGATAATCTGGAAAGCACATTTCCAACAGCTTGAACAGCTTTATTTCAAAATGAGCCATTTGTCTGCGTTTAGAAATCAGATAATTCATGATAACAGCATGTGGCTGAAAGGATAAAAACAAGTGAAGAGTTAAGGGCATTGTAGCATTCACCTTATTCAAAGTAGTATAGATGGAGAAAAAATATGTAACTGTTTAAGGTGTCACACCAGAGTAGGAGATGCAGGGACATGTGGTAGGATCTTCTACCACTTGGTAAAGTTACATACTCCATGCTTTCTTTGTGCACTTAAAGCCTGATCCTGCACCAGTGAAGTCCATGGGAATTTTGCCCTCACTGGATTATTATTTTTGCACTGAATTCTTCCCAAATTAGGGTTATTTTGAGACTAATAAAGTCAAAGGGGCCAGATTCTCAGATGGTGAAATCAGCTTAGCTCCATTGACTGCAATGAATCATAGAATCATAGAATATCAGGGTTGGACAGGACCTCAGGAGGTCATCTAGTCCAAGCCCCTGCTCAAAGCAGGACCTATCCCCAACTAAATCATCCCAGCCAGGGCTTTGTCAAGCCTGACCTTAAAAACCTCTAAGGAAGGCGATTCCATCACCTCCCTAGGTAACGGATTCCAGTGCTTCACTCCTAGTGAAAAAGTTTTTCTAATATCCAACCTATACCTCCCCCACTGCAACTTGAGACCATTACTCCTTGTTCCATCATCCAGTACCACTGAGAACAGTCTAGATCCATCCTCTTTGGAACCCCCTTTCAGGTAGTTGAAAGCAGCTATCAAATCCTCACTCATTCTTCTCTTCTGCAGACTAAATAACCCCAGTTCCCTCAGCCTTTCCTTATAAGTCAAGTGCTCCAGCTCCCTAATAATTTTTGTTGCCCTCTGTTAGACTCTTTCCAATTTTTCCACATCCTCCTTGTAGTGTGGGGCCCAAAACTGGACACAGTACTCCGGATGAGGCCTCACCAATGCCGAATAGAGGGGAACGATCATGTCCCTCGATCTGCTGGCAATGCTTTCTTAGCAGGGGCCAGATCCCTACTGGGAACAGCAGGTGTACAGCATCCAAAATCCTCATGCCACTGGTTAGCTGCAGGAGATGTGTCTCCACAGCTTCTCGTCCACCGTAACCCCTAGTTCCTTTTCTGCAGAACTGCTGCCTTTCCACTCGGTCCCTAGTCTGCAGCAGTGTATGGGATTCTTCCGTCCTAATGGAACTATTAGAGATGATAAAATAAAAATCAATGACATTTTCGGGAGAAAATTTTGACTTTTCATTGGGGGGGGAAAAAAGTTTTGTCCAAAATCTGCCAAAAAGAAAACCAAACAAAATATGGCCCAAAATTTTCTATTTTTGGTGGGTTGCAGGGTAGGTTAAGACCAATAATAAAAAATTAGGAAAAGCGCACACTTTTCTCAATTATTTTCATTTTGTTGAAAACCCAATTTTCTTAAAAAAAAAAAAGTATGGATGGCATTTTTTTGACCAATTCTAAGAGCTACATTGATGTACACCTTTGAGAGTCTGGCCCAGTCTTTCTTTTTTAAGAATTTGAGCTTTCAGGTAATGTTGAGTCCCATTGTCATTTCTGAAATGCTATCAGAACCAGGCAAGGGCTAAAGTGGAGCGTTTAGCCACAGTACAGCACCTATGGGAGGGACTGTGTCTGTGGAGACACGTCTCCTGCAGCTAACCAGTGGCATGAGGATTTTGGATGCTGTACACCTGCTGTCCCCAGTAGGGATCTGACCCCTGCTTTCACACCATTTGGGGCAATTTGTACTCTCGACCTACAGAGAGATTAGTCCCTCCACTCCACAGAGCACAGGTGGTGTATGAAGGAGGTGTGTTGGAAGGGGAAGACTTTTTGTTACCATCCCCTGTGTACCTGCCCACAGGCAAGGGATAATGTGGCCCCAAATGAACCAGAATTAATTTAATTCCTTTGAAGCAAACCAGGCATCTGGCCTACAGATTTTATAACACCTAAAAGAGGCCAGCTGGTGAAGGAAACAGAAAAACATACCCTCCCATTCATAAACAAGCAGTAAGGCTTGGTCTTTTTGCATCTTCTGCTGTACCATGAATACACAAGGAAAAATAACTTTCAGACACGAACTCAAAGTCAACCATGAACAAAAAGTTGGGTCCTTGCCAGCTGCACCTGAGTAACTCAATACATCAAACAACCAACAATGAAAATAGCAGGCCATTGATGTTTCTGTGCATGGTATCAGCTCCTGCAAAGCAAAACTTTCTGGCTATTATTAGTTTACAGTAAAGCAAAGTATAACTATTAGCTGATTATAGAAGTACATCCATTTTTGTGGAAATATAGCAACTTCTTGTGTCCAGGTAAACACAATATGTTCAGGAGAAGAAAATGACAGCAACTGCAATGATCTGTGTCCATTGCCCTTAATCCCTCAGGATGAAATTCACTCTGATGCAGGAAATCAGCACAAGGCCAATGCACTGCTTAAATCCCACTTAAGACCTAAGTGTCAGATTTCCAAAAGAGCACAGCTCCCATGTAGGCACCTAAAATAACTGGTCAGATTTTCAAAAGTGCTCAGTGTATTGAGTGCTGAGCTCTTTTGAAAAATCCAGGTGTAAGTGGGAGTTAAGCAGTGAATAGGTCTTGTACTTGCAGGGGTGAATTTCACTGTAAGTGCTGAAGGCATTTGTTTGTAGTGCCTTTTACAGCAAACAAGAGAGCTGTCAATGAGGGCTTGCATTCCTGCAGCTCTTAGACATGGGAGTAGTCCCACCAACTACAAATGTGAGAGGGCTGCAGGATCTGACACTGAGCCACATATAAGACAATTTTTCCCCCCACGGTAGTGATCTGAATAAAGCAAATGATGTTTCTGGTGCAAAAGAAAGGGAAAGGGAGTAAAAATTCATGCTTTTGATATTGTCTTGTACCTAAGTAACCTTTTATTTTTTATTGTTAGTGGTAACAGTTTTAAAGACAGTTTTCAGAGTAGCAGCCGTGTTAGTCTGTATTCACAAAAAGAAAAGGAGTACTTGTGGCACCTTAGAGACTAACAAATTTATTTGAGCATAAGTTTTCGTGAGCTACAGCTCACTTCATTGGATGCATTCAGTGGAAAATAAAGTGGGGAGATTTATATACATAGAGAACATGAAACAATGGGTGTTACCATACACACTGTAACCAGAGTGATCACTTAAGGTGAGATATTACCAGCAGGAGAACGGGGGTAGGGGGGGAGACCTTTTTTAGTGATAATCAAGGTGGGCCATTTCCAGCAGTTGACAAGAGAGTCTGAGGAACAGTGGGGGGTGGGGAGTGGAATAAACATGGGGAAATAGTTTTACTTTGTGTAATGACCCATCCACTCCCAGTCTCTATTCAAGCCTAAGTTAATTGTATCCAGTTTGCAAATTAATTCCAATTCCAATTCAGCACTCTCTTGTCTGTTTTTGAAATTTTTTTTGTTGAATTGCCACTTTTAGGTCTGTAATTGAGTGACCAAAAAGACTGAAGTGTTCTCTGACTGGTTTTTGAAAGTTATAATTCTTGACGTCTGATTTGTGTCCATTTAGTCTTTTACGTAGAGACTGTCCAGTTTGACCAATGTACAGAGCAGAGGGGCATTGCTGGCACATGATGGCATATATCACATTGGTAGATGTGCAAGTGAACGAGCCTCTGATAGTGTGGCTGATGTGATTAGGCCCTATGATGTCCCCTGAATAGATATGTGGACACAGTTGGCAACGAGCTTTGTTGCAAGGATAGGTTCCTGGGTTAGTGGTTCTGTTGTGTGGTGTGTGGTTGCTGGTGAGTATTTGCTTCAGGTTGGGGGGCTGTTTGTAAGCAAGGACTGGCCTGTCTCCCAGATCTGTGAGAGTGATGGGTCGTCCTTCAGGATAGGTTGTAGATCCTTGATGATGCGTTGGAGAGGTTTTAGTTGGGGGCTGAAGGTGATGGCTAGTGGCGTTTTGTTATTTTCTTTGTTGGTCCTGTCCTGTAGTAGGTGACTTCTGGGTACTCCTCTGGCTCTGTCAATCTGTTTCTTCACTTCAGCAGGTGGGTATTGTAGTTGTAAGAATGCTTGATAGAGATCTTGTAGGTGTTTGTCTCTGTCTGAGGGGTTGGAGCAAATGCAGTTGTATCGCAGAGCTTGGCTGTAGACAATGGATCGTGTGGTGTGGTCTGGATGAAAGCTGGAGGCATGTAGGTAAGCACAGTGGTCAGTAGGTTTCCGGTATAGGGTGGTGTTTATGTGACCATCACTTATTAGCACCGTAGTGTGCAGGAAGTGGATCTCTTGTGTGGACTGGTCCAGGCTGAGGTTGATGGTGGGATGGAAATTGTTGAAATCATGGTGGAATTCCTCAAGGGCTTCTTTTCCATGAGTCCAGATGATGATGTCATCAGTGTAGTGCAAGTAGAGTAGGGGCATTAGGGGACGAGAGCTGAGGAAGCGTTGTTCTAAGTCAGCCATAAAAATGTTGGCATACTGTGGGGCCATGCGGGTACCCATAGCAGTGCCGCTGATTTGAAGGTATACATTGTCCCCAAATGTGAAATAGGTTTCAGAGTAACAGCCGTGTTAGTCTGTATTTGCAAAAAGAAAAGGAGTACTTGTGGCACCTTAGACTAACCAATTTATTTGAGCATAAGCTTTCGTGA